AAAAAAAAAAAAAAAGGAAAAGGAAAAACTTGAATTAGATGCATGCGAAGTCAAGAATGAAAAAATTCCTAAGGACTTAAAAGAAATCTGTATTAAAATCCTCATTGTTATTATATATTTTATAATTCTTTTTAACTGACTTTTTTGACTTATCAGTCATACATCATTCCTAATCTTTATATAAGAACATATGTACTGCTTTATGAAAACACGAAAAATGCTAGTTTGCATTTTTTTCTACTTTTCTCAGAATCTTTAGTATTATGTATTTTGTCTAGCTCTAAAAATAGTATACATCAATAAAATTATGGGAAAAAATAAAATAATAAAATTTAAAATTAAAATCAAAATGGCATATACTAAAACGCTTCTCAAATTTAATGAACAAACAATGGTATCCTAATTGCGCTAGGCCCTACATACTTTAATGACCCCCAAAACATCTCTGTCTATATTTTTTAAATGAGATAAAGAAAGATAACCCTAAGTCGGCAGAGATGGCTTCCACAAGACCACGCAGGCTTTTGTTCATCTCGCCACAGCCTCTCCACTCTCTTCCACTACAGCGTGACTCTGAGGTCACTTGCTGCAAGTGGCTTCATGGTTCCTCGGCTCTGGCTAGGTTGGGTTTGGCCAAGAGAACTAGCAGGAGGTCAGCGCAAAGGGGCGTAGGGGTTAGGCTGGGGAGTCACGGTGGGCTGGCCGCTCCTGCCCGTGGCCTCCTTCATCTCATCTGTCTGCAGGTCTAGTAATTGCTCCCCACCCTGCCCTGTCCCTTGGGCTTCCCTCAACGCGGGCCGTATTTATGATTCTCTTAAGATGCCGCTCTAGACACTCAGCTTGAATATGACTTCTGGGGCCCTAACCCACACAGCCCAGCTTATGGACAGTACTCTGCATGAAGGCCAACAAGCTGGCAAGCAGGCAGGGCCTGCATTATCAGGACATATCACAGGAAGGGAAAGAGACTTCCCGTGTAACTTCTTCAAGGTCACATGCTAACAGGCAGTGCAGAAAGAACACAAACTTGGGCCAGGGAGATAGCTCAGTAGAATAAGCACCTGCCTAGCAAGTACAGGGTCCTGAGTTCAATCCCCAGTACAGGAAAAATAAAATAAAATAAGAAGGAACACAAACTCAGACTTTTTGGTTTTTGCAAAATGTTTTCTCCCTGCCACAAAGCAGTAAAGCAAGTATGGATACTAAGACTACGTCTCCTCAAAAAATAAAAATGTCTTGGTTGGCAGAATTCTAATGCTGTGGTCTAACCTGAGCCTCGGTGAAGGAGCATAAATGCAGGAGCATTTTACTGTCACACTTGCTGAGTCACAAGTCAAGTCATTCACCAAGTCATTATAATAAACACTGTGTAGTGGGCAGAACACTGAGATCAAGGAGTATGGAATATTCTTAGCCATCCAAAGATCTCAGGCATGAATAAAAAATAAAAAATAAAAAAAAAAAACAGAAATCTTTGCAAATAACCACTGAACTGTGACATGTATACAACAGAGGGAAAGATTCACTCCTGGTAGAAGCACACACACACACACACACACACACACACACACACACACCGAAACTTTTTTTTTCATTATTTTAAAAATGAGCAAAGGGCCGGGGAGCTAGCTCGGCAGTCTAAGTGCCTGCCTGTCAAGCACAAAGACCCAGGTTCAATCCCCGATGCTACATTCCATGCTGGCTCCACGCCAAGTCAGCCACAGAAACCGGGCATAGTGATGCACCCTAGTAATCCCAGTGCTGGCGAGGCTGAGACAGGAGGAACAGTACGAGTTTGAGCTGCATAGTGAGACCCTGTATCAAATAAATACAAATATTTTTTTAATTTTTAAAAATGAGCAGACATTTGAGGTGAGATTATTAGACAAAATAGAAAAAATGTTACAAAGCATAAATCCACAAACAATGTGGGGACTCAAGTGGATCAGTATCATGGACATAAGAGATAGGGGTGCAGGATCCAGCCAGAGGCTGCAGAAGCTTTTAGCTAGAAGTACCTTATTCACTGATTTACACTTTAATTTTTCTGATTATAGAAATCAATCTGGTTGGGCCAGCCAAATAGCTCAGCAGATGAAAGCTCCTGCAAGCAGATGCAGGGGCCAGGGGTTCGATCCCCGGGCCTGCCGTGCCAGCCCTGCCTTCCCCAGGGAGCATGCTGAGATGGCAATTGAGACAGGGCATGGTCGCGTGCACCTGTAATCCCAGCTCTTGGGAGGCTAAAAGCAGGTGGTTCACTACAAGTCTGATCTAGTAGTGAGACCCTGAACACCTTCTAGACCCATCCCCCCCAAAAAAAAGGAAAAAGAAATCAATCTGGCTTTCCAGAATAAAATACTGAAGCCACTATACAATTAAAGAAAAAAACATTCTGAAAGAACTATGAGCTATAATGAACCAGATCAATATTACTAGTATCACAAAAGATATTTATTTAACATTTTGCTTTTTATATTTTTGCCTTAGAAAAAATAAAATTCTCTGAATTTCTGAGCTTAACAAGGCAAGTCAATGGCCACCTAATGTGGAAAACATATTATGCCATTAAATACTTTTAAAGTCACGGCATTCCTGTTAACCAAGTAAAAATGACATCATTTGATCCACAAGCCTTATGTGCAAATCTTACCTGATTTGCAGAAACTGGGATAAAAAGCATCAGGAAACACGGACCCCGCCTGATATGCATCTTGGTGTTCTTTTAACAGCTGCAGAGCCAGAAAATACAGATTAGGGGACCAGAGGCAACATCCTTGGAAACACAAAACCCATTCATTTCTAGCTAGGAGATCCTGGGCTGTCAATAGAAGGGCTGGATGGAAAGAAGGGGAACAGGCAGGCATAACAAATAAGTGATAAAAACTTGTATAAGCCAAGACAACACATTATAATATACAGCTTCAGGTTTCCTAGCCTACCAAATGTTGGCTCGCTAGAAAGCAACAAAGAGAGCCTATTTAAATTTCATCTCCTTTATTCTTTTCCAATTATCTGGTACAGCAGGATTTTCTTGACCCTGTTTCACTGAAGCAGAGCTGGCTCCTGATAAGATTTTCAAGGATCTATAGTGAAATGAAGAAAAGATAGATAGATAGATAGATAGATAGATAGATAGATAGATAGATAGATAGATGGATGGATGGATGGATGGATGGATGGATGGATGGATGGATGGATGGATGGACCGACGGACGGGTGGGTGGGCAGGCAGGTATAGGTACACATTCATAGCAGTCTGTAGCTGCCATCTCTCATTGTGTCTTTGTGCTTCTTCATGGCTACAAAGATAGCCTTTCCCATTTAAAATGATGTGAAATAGGCAGTATTCCACAATGTTCTTCCCTAGGGGGCTCACTCACTGGCTCCACACTGACTCCCCACAGCATGCTTGGCAGCGCATGCCCAGGCTGCCCACCCTGAGTCTGGTGGACACGACCTCCTCCTGGGGGCCCACTTGCTCATGCCAACACAGAAACATGCGGTGTTGGTGCAATGCAGGTAACAGGTGCACTGAGTGCCCCATGAGTTCATAAGGGGAATACAGGGCATCCAGTTTGCAACAGCACGGTGGCTGTGGCGACATCTCACAGTCAATTGTCAAGGTGGTGGCTTCTTGGTCTCCAAGCCCTGTATGAGCCTACTGAATCTGCATGTGACCACTGGGGAAGGGGCTGCCACTGCCAAGCAGCTGAGAGTTCTCTCGCTCAACTCAGAAGGAAAGGCAGAGTGGAAGTTGACTATGGCTCTGCTCTCAGCCCTTAGTGTTACAGCTCTTGGGCTCTCAGATAGCACCCTCTTGGCAGTCAAAGATAACTACCTGTTAATGAACAGTAGACACTACTGATCCCGCAGCCAGTCTCTGCAGCTTTTCAGGGCTAGCAATGCCTTGTGTTTGAAGCTCTTTTTCCAGGCATTCAGGTCTGGCCATACTACCCAGGATGGATAAGAAGCCAGAAAACACACACATATATATCCTGCCAAGCCCTCACTGCCCAGCAGTTTTAGGACCATCAGTACTTTCAGGACCATCAACACAAGACTTCTTTTGACCAGAGCCTTGCTGGGCATAGAAGGGCAGTACCACGGCGAGAGCCCCTCTAGGCTAACACAAGGAATATGACAGAAATTGGTGCTTTTATAGCAGCAGCAAACCTATGATCAGTCCAACACTCATGCCTAGGATTGGCTGAGTCGAGCTTTGATTGGTCCAAATTCAATTCTACTGCTCAATTCAAATTCATGCCTGCTGCAATCAGGCCAAACACCTTCCAGAGCAGGCATGGGAGTCAGGGCATCCAGGATTGTTGCAGCTGTCATGGCAGCAGTTCAAAGGAATACTGGAAAATACTGTTTAATTGACAGCTGTCACATGTCTGTGCAAATGGTGGGGCTAAAAGGGAGGGAATCTTCAGGGCACTGGCTGTGTTCACTACAGCCTGCTGCTGTGTGGAGAAGTTAGGGATGAGATCCTTCCCCAATCTCTGCCACTTCTTCCAGGAGGCAGCAGCCACAGGAAAGGTAAAAGGGTATGCCTCTTGGCAGAGCTGCCTGTAGAATAGGCACAAAGTAACCCACAGGTGGCAGGAGGACACTGGGGCGAGTTGTCCACACCCATACTCAGGAGAGGGAGGGAGGGCTACCACTGTGGGATAAGCCATGCCCCACTCTGGCTGCAGCAGGAAAGGAAATCAGGCCATTTCTCCTCTCTCTGTGTGACGGCAGCCCAGCTGCAAATCCTGGGTGGCCATTCTGGGTATAGTTCTGGTCTTTTCTGGGTGCTCAGCCTGGCCTTGCCCTCTGGCTCCCACACAGGCTCTGTCTGCACAGTGAGTTCCCAAATTCTCCGCATGGCACCCTCTCTGCCTACGCTAGCCCAAGGACCTTCCAAGAGTGGAAAATCCACTCCACTGGACAAAACCACAAAACTGAGATTTGGCCACACCATGATTTTATTTTCTAATAAGGACTTACAATAACCTGGGCCATCCATGGAGGCAACGAGGAAGTTCCTTGAGCACACCAGAAAAGGAAAAGGCAGAATCATCTATTCATGTTTTCCCTTTTCCCCAGAGAAACAGAATCACACCCTGCTGAGGACATTGAATACCATACCAATCAGGAGGGTGAGGCCAAGCACAAGGAGAAGCCACCAGCACACTGAGCCTCACTTGTTGGGCTCAGAGAGGGACAAGTGACAGGAGACCACCCCACCAGTATGCTGGAAGTTGCCGTCTCCCGACAGCCTCTGAGGCCAAGTCCTCCCTATGGAAGGAGGCAGAACACCACCACACCACTAGGTCTTGCTCTACCTGGGGCATCAGTCATACAAATCAATAAAGTTGGGAAAGTTTCTTCTTTCAAAAGATAGCCTGAGTTGGACTTTTGTCACTTAAAAATAATAATTAACTTTATTGAATATTTACTTTACACAGCAGTGTTCAAAGGATTTTCTTAAGACCAGTTAAATCTATATCATCCAGTGAAGTACATACATTATGTAACATGGCAAAAGAATGCTGAACTGACTTTTAAAAAACAAATGTGTAGAAGAGCAGGAAACTACTAGAGAACACAAGAGAGGACCTTTGCGGGAGGAGGTATCATTCACAGATGAAAATATATATTTTATGCTACAGAAAAAAAAAAAAAAACACCCAATACAGGGACCAAAAGCACAGATGAGACTGGGGTGCAGCCCAGGGGCTGAGTGCTTGCCTGGCACACACTAGGTCCTGGGTTCTGTCCCCAGAACTTCGTTCCCCAGAAGGAAGAGAGACACAAAGCAGGGGAATGGTCACAGAGACAAGCCCAAGCCAGGCGCACGAATAGCTTATTGTGTGAGAGGATAAAAAAGGATGGGGAATCAACAACCAGGGTTGTCACAACTAGAGCAACAAGTACACCTTCTTTACGCCAAGGAATCTGTGCTTCCTGTACATGACATTGAGTTGAAATTAACATTATCACCGACAGGCCACTGCATCTCTATCGTGCCTTGTACCAAAATAAATACAAGGTAAACTAGAGAGTTAAGTAACAAAAATGGAGTCAATAGATTTTAACAAGTCAAGATTTAAAGTAATAGAGTGGCAATGATTTTTCTAAGCATAACACAGGTAGAAATCATAAAAGAAAAGACTAATGCATTTCATAACAAAAATTTAAGAGTTTTGCTACTATCTTTGCAGAGTATTCACTAATTAACTTCAGAGCTGAAAATAATTATTAATTTGCAAATATTAAAATATAGCAAGCAAGCCGGACAGATAGCTCAACAGACTAAAAGCACTTGCTTAGGCAAGCACAGGGACTGGGGTTTGATCTCCAGCATACTGAGCCATCCCCCCTGCCAGGGCATGCTGGACAGTGACTGAGACTGGACATGGTGGTGCACACCTGTAATCCCAGTGCTTGGGAGGCAGAAAACAGGAGGATCACTACCAGTCCGATCTGTGTAGTGAGACTCTGTAGACCCTGAACTGAATACATAAAAAAAAAATAAATAAATAAAATGTAGCAGACACAACATTGACCCAGGGATAAAAAATTAATAGAATGTCCCTAAGACTTCTGCCTCTAGAACACTGATATACTTTTTAGAGACACTTCTTCTTATTCTTCCTGCTAAATATGACTGAAAACCCTGGAAATCATAAGGTAAATGTAAGATGACCCTAAAAGGCAAAGCTAAGTATGATAACTTCTCCAGGTTCTCTTTTTGGTTCATAGATCCCAAACTGGATACTGGAAAAACTACATACACATGCAGGTGTGCACAGGAGCACACACACATACACTAGGACACACACACATGTACATACACATGGGTGCACACACGCACGGGCACACACAAGCACACACCAATAAAAGTCTGTTCTTTCTAGCCATAGGCCAGGGATGTACAGGCTAGCAAGACTGAAAACTTTTATTTTTTTTTTCCATTTCAGATTTTTTCTTTTTCTTTCTTTCTTTCTTTCTTTTTTTTTTTTTGGTCCTTTATTCATTTATTTTCCATAATTTTATTGAGAAACAAATAGCAGTGAGACAGTTTCAAACCAAATCGGTAGGACAGTTTCAATAATTAACACATTGTATACTCTCTAGTGGTTATTTGCTGTACAAGATGCAGACATGATATCCTATTTACAAACAATATTAGAACAAATCCCTCTATTCATTAAGAGAATGTAACTATGTATCTATCCTAACCATTTTAAATACACAGATACAAAATGGACATTCTTCTGTATCCCCTTTTGTGTTTAGTTCCATCATTTGAATACTATAGGTGTGTTAACTCAGTAAAATATTCTAAAAGAGTCCAGTAGTCCATAATAGTATTGGGTCTTCTGCTTCACTGGCAATATCATAAATTGTTGACCTGAGTCCCCTACAGCTCAACATCACACCATGGCTTTACTTCCTATACTTCGTTTTTATACTTTTCTGCTGGATGGTTAAGACCAAGATAAAGGAAGACCTATGCAACAAGAGTTGTGGCTTTTGGATCTGATAAAGTCAGTGAAATTCCCTCAGGATTTATCCTGAGATCCTGTACCTCAGATTGTAGAACCTTTGTCAGTGTCAGCCATGTGAATGAGTCACGGCCATTGCTTGGCCAGTGTGCTCTCTGTGAAAGCCTGAGAGAATGTTTTTCTCTCCATGTGATTCTCCTTAGGCACACTCTACATCATCGATCACTTTCCTC